CAGGAGTCGTGTGTACCAAATGAAAGTCTTGACGTTTGCATTCTTCTTGTAGCCCACCTTCAGCTATTTTGCCCATCTCCAACCACCCCTCTACCTCACATTTTACATTCTAGTGATACTGATCTACTTACTGTTCAAACATATAGCATGATTTCTTCAGCCTCTGTGCCTTTTGCTCTACTGGAAATTATCCTTCAAATCTTAACATTTTCTCTGTGAGACCTTCTTTTTTTTTTTTTAAACCACTAATTCCATTTACAACCCCCCTATATATATATATATATATATATATATATATGTATATACACACACACTATATATATATATACTATATATATCCTATATATATATATAGTACTTTAAGTTCTGGGGTACATGTGCAGATCTTGCAGGATTGTTGCATAGGTACACACATGCCGTGGTGGTTTTCTGTCTTCATCCCCCCGTCACCTACATCAGGCATTTCTCCCATGTTATCTCTCCCCAACCTCCCCGCCCCCTGGTATCCCTCCCCTAGCCCCCAACCCCTAAAAGACCCCAGTGTGTGATGTTTCCCTGCCTATGCCCACGTGTTCTCATTGTCCAACACCCGCCTATGAGTGAGAACATGTAGTGTTTCGTTTTCTGTTCTTATGTCAGTTTGCTGAGAATGATGGTTTCCAGATTCATCCATGTCCCTACAAAGGACAGGAACTCATCATTTTTTCATGGCTGCATAGGATTCCATGGTGTACATTTGCCACATTTTCTTTGTCCAGTCTATCTTTGATGGGCACTTGGGTTAGATCTAGGTCTTTGCTATTATGAACAGTGCTGCAATGAACATACGTGTGCATGTGTCTTTATAACAGAAAGATATATAATTCTTTGGGTATATACCCAGTAATAGAATTGCTGGGTCAAATGGAATTTCTATTTTTAGATCCTTGAGGAATTGCCACACTGTCTTCCACAATGGTTGAACTAATTTACACTCCCACCAGCAGTGTAAAAGTGTTCCAATTTCTCCAAATTCTCTCCAGCATCTGTGAGACCTTCTTCACTTCTCTTTGGCTGAATTAGGAGTTTCTGCCTCTCTAAATTTTTCAATTTCCATATACTCCACTAGAGCAATTTATGTACAGTTGACTCTAATAATATGGGTTTGTATTATGTGGGTTCACTTATATGTGTATTTTTTTCAATAAATATATTGGAAATTTTTTTGAGATTTGTGACAATTTGAAAAAACTTGCAGATAAAACGTGTAGCCTAGAAATATGAAAAAATTAAGAAAGAGGTATGTCATTAATGAATAAAATATATATAGATAATATTCTATCATCTACTAACATAAAATATACACAAATCTATTATAAAAAAGTTAAAATGTATCAAAACCTGTGTACACAGTCACTTATAGACTGTATGTGGAGTCATTCTCAGGAGGAATGTAAAAAAACATAAAGATGCAGTATTAAATTATAACAGCATAAAGTTAACTGTAGTGCATACTGTACCACTATCATAATTTCAGAGCCACCTCCTATTGCTTTTGTGACGAGTTCAAGTGTTTCAGCTACCTGCGTAAAACATCATGTGACACTGGTCATCTCTGCATAAGCAGTTTGTCTCTCCAGTAAATTGCATATCACAGTAAAAAGTGATATCTTGGTGGTTCTCGTGGAGGTTTCATCATGTTTCATGCAATACTGTAAACCTTGAGTAACACCATGAGGCCCATGCAAAGTGCCTGGAAGTGCTCCCCAGAAGCAAAGTCATGACATTGTACGAAAAAATTATATTGCTTGATATGTACCAGGGATGGAAGTCTGCAGCTGTGGTTGCCCCATTTCAAGATAAATTAATCCAGTATAGGGACCATTGCACAAAAAGAAAAGGAAATTTCTAAAGTCGTCATGCAGCTGTGCCAGCATGTGCAAAAACTTGGTACTTTTTGCAGAATATCTTTTTATCTGTCATGGAAAATGCAAGTTTTATGTGGGTACAGGATTTCTGTAAGAAAAGCATACCTGTAGACTCTAATATAATTTGAGAAAATAAAAAGTCATCTTATGACAACTTAAAAGGAAAATGAAGGAGCTAAATAAAGCTGGAGAATTTAATGCCAACAAAGGATGGCTTGGTAATTTTAGAAAGAGATTTGACTTTAAAAATGTCAAGATAACAAGAGAAGCAGCTTCTATTGACCAAGAGGCAGTAGACAAGTTCCAAGATGACATTAAAAAAATTATTTAGGAGAGGCTGGGTGTGGTGGTTCACACTTGTAATCCCAGGACTTTGGGAGGCTGAGATAGACGGATCACCTGAGGAGTTCAAGACCAGCCTGGCCAACATGGAGAAACCCCGTCCCTACTGAAAATACAAAATTAGCTGGGCATAGTGTTTCATGCCGGTAATTCTGGCTACTCTGGAGGCTAAGACCTGAGGATAGCTTGAACCTCGGAGGCAGAGGTTGCAGTGAACCAAGATCGCACCAATGCATTCCAGCTTAGGTGACAGAGTGAGACTCCATCTCAAAAAAAAACAAAAAGAGGAGGGGAAAAAATTATTTAGAAGAAAGGATATCTGCCTGAATAGGTTTTTAGTGTAGATGTAAGTTCTGTCTTCTGGGGGAGGAAATGCCACAAAGGACATTTATTATTAAGGAAGAGAAGTGAGCACCAGAGTTTGATGCAGAAGGGGATAGGCTAACTACTGCTTCGTGCAAATGTACTCAGGTTTATGATCAGGACTGCCGTTATCTATAAAGCTGCCGACTCACGAGACTTGAAGAGAAATGATAAACACCAACTGGTAGTCTTTTGGTTATGCAATAAGAAGGCCCGAACAATGAGAACCCTTTTTCTAGACTGGTTCCATTGATACTTTGTCCCTGAAGTTAGGAAGTACCTTGCCAGTAAGAGACTACCTTTTAAAGTTTTTTTTTGATATTGCACAATGGCTCTGGCCACCCAGAACCCCATGAGTTCAACACCAAAGGCATCAAAGTGGTCTCCTTGCCTGCAAATGCAATGTCTCTGATTCAGCCTCGAGATGCATGCAGTCATAAGGACCTTTAAGGCTCATTACACATGAGTACTCTATGAAAAGGATTTTCAGCGCAATGGAAGAGAACCCCAATAGCGAGAACATCATGAAAGTCTGAGAGGATTACACCATTGAAAATGCCATCATTATTATAGAAAAAGCCATGAAAGTCATCAAACCCATAACAAGAATTCCTACTGGAGAAAACTTTGTCCAAATGTTGTGCATGACTTTACAAGATTTACAACAGTCAGTCAAGGAAATCATGAAAGATATTGTGGATGTGGTGGAAAAGGTTGGGAGTGAAAGGTTTTAAGATACAGATCTTGGAGAAATTCAAGAACTAATAGACACCACACAAGGGAAGTAACAGAAGATGACTTGATGGAGATGAGTGCTTCTGAACCAATGCCAGAAAATGAGGAAGAAGACACAGCAGAAGCAGTGTCAGAAAACAATTTGACATGAGATAATCTGACAGAAGGGTTCTGATTATTCAAGACTGCTTTTGACTTCTTTTATGACACGGACCCTTCTATAATATAAGCACTGAAACTAAGGCAAATGGAAGAAAGATAGATACTGTATAGAAACATTTTTAGAGACAAGAAAAGCATTAAAAAGTGGGAGAGAAATTACCACTTGTTTCCATAAAGTTGACCAAGTTTGCCCCTCCTGCCTTCCCTCCCAGCTCCTCCATCTCTTCTGCCTCTGCCATCCCTGGGAAGACAAGACCAACCCCTCCTTTTCCTCTCCCAACTCAGCCTACTCAGTGTGAAGATGATAGGATGAAGACCTTTATGATGATCCACATCCACTTAATAAGTAGAAAATACAATTTTCTTTTTCATATGATTTTCCTAATATTATTTTTCTTTGGATTACTTTATTGTGATAATACAGTATATAATACAGCATATAAAATATGTGTTAATTGAGTATGTTATTGGTAAGTCTTCTACTCAACAGTAGGCTATTAGTAATTAAGTTTTGGAGGAGTCAAAAGTTATACATGGGGCCAGGCATGGTGGCTCATGCCTGTAACCCCAGCACTTTGGGAGTCTGAGGTGGGCAGATCACTTCAGCCCAGGAGTTTGAGGCCAGCCTAGCCAACACAGTGAAACCCCATCTTACTAAAAATACAAAAATTAGCCAGGTGTAATAGCACATGTCTAAAACCCAGCTACTCAGGTGGCTGAGACACAAAAATAGCTTGAACCCAGGAGGCAGAGGTTGCAGTGGGCCAAGAGATGCAATGAGTCTCACTCTGTTGCCATTGCACTCACTCCAGCCTTGGAGACAGAGTGAGAGTCTGTCTCAAAACAAAAAGAAAAGTTATACGTGGATTTCCAGCTGTACATGGGTGAATGCTCCTAACCTCCATGTTATTCAAGGGTTAACTGTAATTGAAATTCTTCATTTTCCTATTCCTTTCTAGGATATTTTATAAGTTTCTTGTGGTTCAAACCACCTTCATCTTAGATAAACAATAAATATTTGTTGAATGAAAGAATAATTGGATTAACAACAGAGGCTTGTAGCAGTTAGTCTATCATGATGTGATTTAAAACTTTACTTTTGAACATACATCCAGCACATATGTATTGTATGCCCAATATGCAACAGCCACAGTGGAGGATTCAAACAAGATTTGATCTTTGCCCTAATAGACCTTGTGGGTTACAACTGTTTTTTCCCAGAGTCACACTTTTAGGAATAAAACATGATATATGCAATTTTGAAAGAAAAGGAAAATCTGTTAGTAGTCACCATTTTATGACTCAGCAGTTCTTTGTAGGCATTCACCCAATAAAAAATTTGGAGTGGACTAGGGAAAATATTTTCTAAGATGACGTATTTCCCCCACCTTCTATAAAAAGAAAAAAATTGAGTTTAATATTAATAATTAAAGTTTACTTACAAAACACAGGAGATGGAGAGAATGTACTTTTATTTATTTTTTTCTATAGGAGAAACTAAAACTTACCTATGAGGAAAAGTATGAAACTCTGGAATCCCAGCTGAACTTTTTGAGGTAAAGTGAAATCATCCATTTATAGTCACACCAAAAGCATAATGACCTTAAAATATATTTCAGTGTTTGCTGAACTATTTTAGTCATTATCAGACTTACTTGACGACATTTTATGTAAAATATAAAAAATTTCCTTAGATTATTAAAGGATAAAAGGGCCTAAAATTGAGTTCTTTTCCAAATCACACTCCTATTTCCTCATTAGTTATATTTGTTTTCTCATAGAAATAAGAATCACTAACTGCTCTTGTAGAAATTATGATATTAAAGCAAAATAAATAATGAAATAAAGCACTTCAGTTTTCAGATTATAA